CCCCCCCCCCCACCCCGTGTTTCGCACTTCGTATTTTTTTATATGCCGCGTTCCATGCCGCCGCGGTCGGAACACATAATAATAACAACAAAACAACAACAACGATATATTGTAATGTAAAAACACGCGTACGGCAGGAACGATGGTCGTGAGCAGGTAAAAAAAAAAATAAAATAAAAAAGACGAGGAAAAAAAAAAAACTGGACCAGAATAATTTTCATATTTCATCTCGGGATGAGTGATTTTTTTTCCAACCGTTTTTGTACCTGTACGTAATTCGTTTACGCGCGCGCGGCCGGCGTAAGTATTTTTTATTTTTTTTTCCCCGAAACCTGTTACGTACCCCACCCCACGTACGTACGTACGTGCGCGTGCGCGTCGCTTTTGTGTGCGCGCGGAGGAGCGACTGGCACACACATGTCGGCGGAACGGGTGTGCGCGCGCGACAGAGAGAGAGAGAGAGAAAGAGAGAGAGCGAACGGGCAGACCCTCCGTTAATCAAAGACCCGAAGCCCGCAGGCCGCCGACGCCGCCGTTTCACTCCCGCGCCCCACCACCCCGCGGGGTCTGGGAAGCCCCACCGAAACTTGACAGTTTGACAAGTCGGAGGAGTCCGCGGCGGCGTCCGTGTGCGAGCGCCGCGGCCCGGCAACGTCGCGCGCTCCCGGGGCCGTCAGCCGGGCGGGGAACGTGGCGCGACGTTGCCGTTTCCGCGGCCCGCCGCCGAACGCGCGCAACACCGTACGCCGTTTCCCTTTCGGCCGTGTACTCGTTATAGCTGCTGCTGCGTTCTTCTGTTTGCCCGGCCGCAAACTTCTTCCGTACGTCGGCGTTTTTCATTTTTATTAAATTTTTTTTCGACATTCTCGTTCCGTCGGTTTTCCGACCATTTTTTCGTTTCTCGTTGCCGCCGTTCGCAAGATCTCGTCGTCGGTCGCATACGACAATACCGCATTGTTGTTTCGACGCGTCCGTGTCCTCGATCGTGTCCACGACGGGGACGTGCAACGCACGCGATCCGTCCGCCGCATGTGGAGGACGAAAAAAATGGGGTTTTCCTTGAAATTATGCGTGCGTTGATGTGCGACCGGAGCGCGGGGGGGAAGGGGCGAGGATAATGTTCACGCAGCGCAGCGACTCTCCCGAAAAGCGCCTCCGCGTGCGGATTTCGCGACGTTCGGATACGGCAAGATTCGTGACAGCGTTTTCTATCTTTCCCCGTGCTCGTCGCGACCCGGGGCAGATTTTCTTACAGGGCCCTAGAAATGTTTTTCATCATGCCAAAATATATTTCATCAGACGCTCTAGTACTCATATGCCATATTTTTCTATTGTACATAAATTATGTAAAAATGGATGTTATACCTTATCACCAAAGCGCCAATAATATATTATTTATTATTCGTTGATTTATTATTATTATACTATTTATACTACAAAAAAGGTGCTTACTATACATAATATTGAAGTTTGGCATTCCAAATACCAAGTACATTTTCACATGACAGGGGGACTTGTTATTTGATCTGAAAAACGATATTATATGGTAGGCTTACAAATCGTTAAATTCCATGTGAAGCGCAGCGCCCTGGGCTGGGCAACTTCCGCCGGAGCTGCGTACGTCGATGTCTCTCAAGACGTGCCTGCTATCTTTTATTAAAAAACGGACGAAGATGTAGTTCTCCAAATGTCGTTTTTGCACGCGCGCGGTAATAATAAAAGGGAACGAGCGAACAACTGAAATGGATTCACAATGTATTGATAACGCGGTTACGGGAATCGATTCATTACCGTTCGCGCTAACTTTCCCGTTCCGAAAATCGGGCTTCTCCTAATAAAACCTTTGAACAACCGTTCGTATCATAAAAGTAATAAGCAAAATTACTAAAAGCGTTACTCATAACGTATTGCGATCGAAGGTAATACGAATTGGACGAGTCCTTTTCGTACTTGTGATGACGTACGGGATGTAGTAGGCACGCAAGAACTACACAAGATATCACAGTGATTTCTATACGGTCGTTGCGAGTCGATAACATCTTTCTGCGATGGTAGATAATTGATAAATTTTAATAATAAATTGATCGTAACATTTATTTACAATGTTAATTTAATATAGTTCATTTTAATAACACGGTCACGTATTATCTGTAATGATTCATTTTCACGGTATTCCAACCAACCTTATGGTGATATGCTTTCCCGCACCTTTTCCAAGGCCCCCGTCCCTTTGTGTACCGTAGCATATGATTTCAAACGTTACGTACGGAACCCTACGGTCTCGCCGTTGTCGATAAACAGCTGTTTAACATCTCGAAATCTCGAAGATCGCCACCGTTCCGCAGTCAAGTTCTCGCTCAGATCTGTACGTTAACCGAATATTTCGCAACTGTACGCGCTTGCGTCAGAACAATAAAAAAAAAACCACGTCAAAAAACAATTCCACAAACCTTGCAGAGTCTACGACGCTGTACTGTGTTTCATAAACAATTCGCGAAACAACAAAGAAATCCACTGCGTTTTCGTTTTCTATCCTCTCGCTTCTTTTCTATGTCCGATGTTATTTTCCCGTTTTCATGATTAACGATTATTACTATTAATATCACGTATTTTCATAACGCACAAGACTGCATACAGTGCGCGATGTTGTTTTCGGTGCAAGTTTTACAGTTTGCTTTATCATTGGATACTTTTTCGGTATTATTTTTTCCGGCCTTTCGCAAACGATACGATTACGGGGCGACCGAGGAACAAAACAAATCCGCGTAACGCATTTGCAACTCGCTACAAAACAAACCATTATTGCCGTATTGTTTACGCAAAACGTTTATGTGTTGCCGTACAAAAATGATGTCACAAGTAAACCGAAAGATTAGAATATTCCGTTAACACACACACACATACGCGCGCACGCACGCACACGCATTCACAAATATTGTAATTTAAATATTTATAAAAAAAAAAAATACGAAATATAAACGCTGGAAAACGCTGACGTTGTGTATTTTTTATCGTCAACCAGTTTCCAAGCAACAGCTATCATATTGTTCCGTACGAACAGCCGACAAAGTTATTATTAAAATTCGAAAACGGGACGAACAAAGCGGTGCGCAATACTCGCGTCCTAGATTTTATTTAATAGGTAAGTCGCGTCCCGACCAAAAAGGTCGATAACAGACCGCAACCCACTTGCGTGCCAGTACAATTTTTTTTAATAACCTAGTTGCGTCCCGATAATCTATAGTTAAAATATCAATTGTATACTATTCATCATTTATTATAAATACATAGAAAAAATAAAAAATCAGTTTTTTTAGCATAAAATCCAAAAAATATTTATAAAAAAAAAAGACATTGGAATGAAATAAATTACGAGTATAAAATGGTCGGGTTAGGTATGAAATTAAAAATTCTATTCCAATCGGTCTACTCCGGTACCCGGAATCTGATTAAATCAAAGAAGTTGTGATGTACGAGTATAATACACGGATAAAGCTAACACAATTGTTGCTAACATAATGTTAACAAGATTCACTCAGTTTATTGGGCCATAGTATAGTAAAGTTGATTAGTTATCGATCACACATTTTAGTTAACACATCGATAGTTATGGCATAGCCCCAGATATCTCGACATCAAGTTACCGGTCGAATATATCATGTTTTTTCGGGACCAGTGCAACCGAACAAAGCCACAACAAATACCCCCACGGTCTCGTGTGTGCCCTATGTACGGCGTACACTCTAAACACCGGTCCACAACGGAGACGGTTATCCAAGGTTTCCGGTTGACCAGTACAATTTTCAGAGTTAGCCCCTCTCGTCAACCGCGTTTAGGTCTACAAACGTGTTGGGCGGACGTATTTTTTCAACCTAAAAACATCTTCGACCTCGCCGTCATCGGTACGGTTTCACATTTTTACTCGCTCTTTGTACTAAACAATTGTTTTTCATGCGTTCGTTTCAAAATTTCAGGTTCACGAATATCGGGTGACTCTATTCGTTCTATGATCGTTTAGTTGTGCAGAAAATATATTCTTAATAGTTTACTAAACGTAAAAATATACATTTTATTATACATTTGATAACGGAGGAGATATTCCGTCATAAAAATATATTTTACTAGAACTTGATAACTAGTTAACAATTGACAGTCGTGGTTTGTGTTTTTTAAAAAAAAAAGCTATTCATGATAACTGATAATCGAAAACCCTTACGTACATCTACACGAAAATGGTATACAGATCGTTTAAAACAACAATCAGTGGGTATTTAACGGATTTTATTAGTGTTCGAGTTTAAAAACAAGATAAAAATATGATTAATGACTAACATTTGAAAATAAATTATTAAACTAATAGACGTCTTAGAATTTATTTTTGTGCGATCATTAATAGTTTTTAATGCAACACTGGACTGTGGACAACGGAACGCGTATCATTCACATCGTACGTATACTGATATATGTATTATTGTACTCGTAATCATTCATGTGTATTGTTTATACAGTATAATATACACATACTGAATTGTTTGTTACCTTAGCATTGAAGTAGAGGTAATATGTGAGTTGAGTAGGAACGTTAGGTGTGTAATTCTTGTTTATTCTGTGCCACATTATTATTACCGCCAATAGGCAATATATTACTATAATATTTTCAAGCTTTTACGCTGAGCTCAGACTGATCGTTTCTTCATACGTACATTTCGTACGTTATATCTGCAAGTCAAAAAATTGTTAATCGTGTAAACAGAATTACAAGTAATTCGTGATTATAATTGAAATCAAAATGGTTTTACTGAGCATTTACGCTGAGACGTATTGAGCTACATTATTAAAGTTGATGAACATAATAGGCACTGTTTTATATTTTACACTAAAATAAATATTTTTTTCGTTTTAAACACATTATATTTTACACGAACAACAAGGGTTAAAAATAACTCATTTATGTTGAAAATATTAATTTATTTTATTTGTTCATAATTGTATGTTCATGTTTTCAGAAAAATGTTAATAATCATTTTTTTTCTTCTTTTTTTTTTTACCAATATCCGTTATGCTATGACATCTTTACGAGTAAATCCACTGTACGAAGATAGCCGTTAAGAAAATACTACATAATTAATTTTTTTCTTCTGGAATTAATAAGGAAAGTGGGTTATTAAGTGTCGGTAAATTAATAATTTATTATATGCTATAATATACTTAAAACTAAAACTGAAAACAAACCTCCACTACTTGTCTTTTTTTATCAACAATTTCATAATTGATGTGGACTGCAAGACCGCAATATCATTGTGTATTATACATTTATATTGGTAGCTAAATGGAAATATAATTAACAATATTAATCTAACCTCATTTGGTCATTCAATATTTCATATGGAGGGTACTATTTTTACAACAAATATAATATTTTTGCCAAATACTATGGTGAGACTAGTACTATTTATCACAATTTTAGTACGTAGTAGAAATAAAAATCAATTTTGTTTCTTATTCAAAAATTTAAAAATATATCGTCTAGAATTTTTATTATTTTCGAAATGGAATGAAAAATATTATAAATGAAAATCGCAAATAATTATTATGAGATTTACTTTATATTTTAAATTATGCGACTGGCAAATTTTAACTAGGATCATAGCTAACAAAATTGTCATTGAATTGTTCTGGATCAATAGAGCACAACACACAAGGCGACATTACTACTAGAACGGGTCAGCGTGAATGACCCTTCGGCCTTTGTATGATACACAGCACAAAAAGATCCTAACCAGTCAGTTTTTAAGGACACCGTTTATTTATAAAATCAATTTAAAACATTTTTATAAAAATACCGACAAATGTTCAATAAATTCATACTTAGTGCTTATTTTTGAACATTTTGTACTTTCTTGTTTAAATGACTGAAACTATAAGGTAATTAAAATATTAGTTATATTACATTTTTAATACATTATATATTTTCATGGAATACACAGTTTTAAAAGTTTTAAGTTTTAATAATATTTAAAAATAAATTACTATATACTTTTATATTATATTCGATTTAGTTGGCAAAAATATTTAATTCTTGATTTTTTATCAAAACGGAAAATATCACTATATTTTTCTTACTTTTTTTCAAGTATACGTTTACCGAGAAACTACTAAGTAGAATATTGGCATCAATAACGCATATATTATTTATATGTAGATGAACCCTGACAGGTATTTCGTACATTTAAAGTTATATTACATCAGAATAATATATACCTTTTCCTTGGTCGAAGAAATGTCAGCTTTACGTTTAAAATTACTAAACATGATTTTAGATTCTCAGTATCATTTCACGGCACTCATATATTCCAAAACTGGAATTACTTATCATGCATTCAAAACGATTATTGACAAAATCAGCGTACATTGAAGATTATTTTTGTGATTAATTATTTATTTATTGTGTGTTCAACGGGCAGTCAACCTTTTACAAAATATGATAAAAAATATAGAAAAAATAAAACAACTCAGATATATATTAGAATAATAATAATACAAAATTTTAATAATAAATTAACAATTTAAATGTATAGGAACAAAATAAAATCTAGTGAAATTAGCTAAGAATTTTTTAGAATTAATAATACATTAATTTTTAAATTATTACGTATAGAATTGAAAATATCAAGTGAATATAAGACTTTATTGGCTATATGAAGCTGCGTTTTAAGATGTGGAACATAAATTAAGAAATATAAATTATTTGCATTTCAAGTATTCGCATCGTAAATAAATGAAATTCGTTAGAAACTAAAATTAAAATAATATTTACCTTCATTTTAAATGATGAATTAATAATTTACATTACTATATGCTAAATAATTTACCGTATATTAAAATCGTTTTAAAGCATTATTATAACTATATTGGAAATATAATCGTCAATCTGGATATTTATAATATTAAAAAAGTCAATAGTATTTTGTCGACCAAAATTGAAGAATTAATGGCACCTTTGAATTGGCATAATATGAACCGAAAACAGTCTGAAATGAATTCCCGCAGTCAAATATTCAGAAAAATAACTGAAAAATTCATATGGTAACACCATATGACTCACAAGGTACGGATAATGAGTCGAGTAAGAGAAAATCATAACCGACTGCTAGACACATGTTTTGGGTAAGCTGCAATAGTGTGGGTGGGCTGCTGAGACAGATGTCTTGAATTTAGCAGCGATCATACATCATCGCAAGGCATATTCTTAAAACAATTCTCAACGTAGCTTGAGAATATATTGGTTCACTGCAAAAATACGTTTAAAATTTTCAAGTCGTTTTCGAAAAAAACATGTTTTCAGATCGTTTTAGAGCGATTAAAGCTTAGAGCGAGCAATTTTAACTTTAGAACAAAAATGATAACACCTCGAACTACAAGTTTGGAACTACATAACACAACTGTAAACACGACTTAAATAAATTTTGAAATTTTAGAATTCTATAATGGTTTGAAAAATTCCATAATATACTATGTCGAAGTCATAAAAGGAAAATAGTAATTCAAGATTTTCAATAATAATCAAAATTAAAATTTGAATGAATATATTTTAAAAGTTTAAAACTCACAACAAAAATAAAAAATTGCATTAAATTTCAATTCTAAAAAAACGAAATTGAATATCTTATCAAAACCAAAAAAATATTGATGTAGCTATTATAGGTACTAAAATAGTTTTACAGTAAGTAAAACATTTGACGGTAAAAATAAATAAATATTCTAAAATGTTTTTATTTATTTATTTATTTTTTTTATGGTACGAATCATACTTAATTTTAAGTTTAAAATTACAAAATTAAAAATGGCAAAACTTGTCAGTGTCAAAAATCTAAACTAAATTTTAAGAACCGATGTATGATTTTTGATTATATACAGGGTCTTACAGGGTAAACGAAAACTGAATTGGTACTCATACACAAACCAAACGAAGAATGCGTAATAAGATTTTTTTATTTTACTCTATGGATCTTTTACTAAATTAACTACGAAATTCGACACTTCCGCTTCATATATTTATTTATTCTGACAAAATTCATTCAAGAGTAAAGACACATTTATTGAAAATTGTCAGTGCAAGTTTAAATAATATGTTTTAACGAAAAACATAACAAAACGCTCGCACAAGTGTCGCATTTCTTTATATTTGGTTTCACAGACATTTACGGAGAAACGCGACAGTAATCCTAAAATAGTGAAAATGCCTCGGGTTTTGTTTAAACTTCTTATAAATAGTAAATACCACAAATGTTTGTAATTCCTTCAGTGGGTGGTCTCGGTAGATCTGTTACATTTTTTTAAAATTCGTAATTAATATATTCTGTATTAATTTTAAATTAAGTAACATACGTTTTCATTAAAATACATTTTGTGTTTTCAAACATTAGTAAAACTAAAATCTGAAAAATCTCTAAAAACTTCAATCTGTGTAACGGATATATGTCGATTGCTGACGTTACAGTTCGAAATTGTAACAACTCAATAATTTATTGATTGCAGATGAACATTGTAAAAATAAGTGTATTTAGTATTCATTTTAATCATCATTATATAGATATTTTCGATCAATGTTTGAGCTAGTGATTTTTTTTTTTATTTTACTTTGCGTTTAAAATGTTGAGGTTAGATGCTCAGGCGTTTTGAAAGTATTAGCGCCCTATATGACGTTTTAAAATGAATCCGCTGTCGATGTGTCACGCAGTATTTTAGCATTTATTACTCATGTAACAAGGTTTTTTCTTCCGGTTGCTATAACCGTCACTGGCACACCACGATATCGGCTATATCAGCGTTTTTCAACCTGGAGGTCGCGAACCACTAGATGAAAGATCGTATTCGTCAGAAATAATTAAACGGTCATGTAGAAAAACAACCTTTTGTGTATATTAAAAATAAAATGTTAATACGTAACCATAATAATAAAAATGAAAACGTTATTTTGTAGCATAAGTACACTATAAACTTCATTTTACTCATCTAGCAGTTAAAAACTCGTTTTTTCGATCCGTTAATGTTTATGATATAAAAAAAATGTTGGAAGTGATAAAACATGCTTAAGTTTTTATTACTCATTATAAGGATAGGGGGGTTGCGAGGGGACCGATTTTTACCTATTTTGGGTTTAAAAAGGTCGAGAAACGCTGGTCTATCATCGACCGCCACTGCTGTCGTCATCGGATGGTTTTCGGGCGAAAAACTTGTGTTTCGTTCACGAAAGAGCGGCGAGGGAAACAGAGAATGGTGTGTGCGCGCGAGAGAGAGAGAGTGAGAGAGGAACAAACTTTTTTCTGGAAAATGAAAACTGGTTTTCGACCGAATGGAAACCCGTTTCATGCACGCCGGGCCCACCTGAAAATACCGATCGAGGTGCATGAATTACGGACGCGGAACGCCGTGCGACTCTTCAAGCCGGGTTTGCACGACGCGAATCTGATGTGCGAGTCGAGATTCGACATGTTTAGCCCTGTATGAACTCGCCTCGAGTAACGAGCGAGTCAAACGAGGATGCCTCGAGGCGAGCGGAAACTTAGTCTGTATTTGGACGCGCGTCAAAAAAGATTCGCACATCTGTTTCGCGTCGAGTGAACTACTTCTTTGAGCGTCTTGCCTCACACGTAGCGTATTGCCCCGCCATCGTTGCCTCGCATAAGCTGTGGCTCGCCCCGAATCACATTACTTCGCGCATACATACATATCGCGTAGGCGAATCACAGATGTCTCACGAATCTTGCCTCGCGCATCAGATTCGCGCCGTGTAAGCCCGGCTTAATGGGTTTTTCGTACCACCGAGACTCCGCCGTCCACGAAAACGCTGCGCTTCCGTTCCGCCGGGTCCGTTCGAAAAACGGAAAGAATCGCGTACGCCGCGCGGGTCCTTCGCAAATTTCATTCGGCTACGACGGGACGGGGACGACGACGAAAAAAAAAAATACACGCCGTACGCGTACGCTTTTGGGCCCCATGACCGGTTATCGATTTCTTCGGTGCACTACGAAGCGCTCTTCCCGTACGGGGCCGTTTCTAGCGCGCGGAACATCATTTGCGACGGAACGTTTCGAATCGTAAAACAAACAAAAGAAATTGGTCGTGATCATGATCCGCGTTCCGACGCGTTCCGCATGAACCGACGTATAATATACATTTTTCACGATCAAAATTTTGCGGTACGTTCAGGCCCGTGTTTAAAAATTTGGCGCCCCCGGGCATATTATTTATGCCCTCCCTCCAAAAATAAATAATAATAATATAACACTTATTATTTCGTCCATAATCGAGCTTCTTTAATATTAAAATATACCTTATAAATGAAAATCTTTTTTGTCAATTAACAAATCAAACAAATTATAACATAATAAAATATACTATTTTATTTTTTTTTTTCATTAGGTACATCATTTTTAAAATTAATTTTGCTAAAATATTTTGCCGCCCCTGAGACTTGACGCCCCCGAGCATGTGCCTACCCGTGCCCCCCTAAATACGGGCCTGGGTACGTTCGTTTCAGGTAATGCGCGTATTCTTATTGACATCTGTTCCACTGTTATGTCGTGTGCGCCGCACAAACTTTTCTCTTTTCAGAAAAGTTAATTTTACGATTCCGTATTCGCGTTCTTGACGCGAACGAATTCGTGATCGTCGCGACGAGCCTCATTCAACCAGCTTCAGCTTTGCCGGTTCGACGCATTTTTACTACCATTATAGCTGCCGCTATTACTATATAAATAAAAAAAATATTTAAGATACATTGTACGCATTTTTTTGATGTTCTCGTACTTCGGGATCGATAAAATGATTTATGTACGCACGGTGCATTATCTAAAAAAAAAAAAAAATTACTTTTCCCCTAACACTGTGAAAGAGCGATTCGTCGCAGCAAAATCCTCTGAAAAGTTAAGCTAATATGCCGGTGAAATATTGTTCCATAGAGTAATTGTTTTTGATTCCATTCCTTTCAAAGTGCATATGAATTATTTGCAACTATAAAGCTTGTATATTATGTATGTTTTGATGATAAACGGTAAAACGTGTATTGAAAATGCACAACGGGAATTGAAAACATAACATTTTATGAACCAGTCTAATATGCGCCTTAACATATTCTATTAAATATTTATACAAAGTATTGTGTTTTTCATCCTAAAAACATTATTAATAAAAGTATAAGCATCTATGGACCCGCATAAAAAGGTATTCGAACATAATATAATACTGAAATTCGTGAAACTTCAGCGAAAAGTGAATAGATCCGAGGTTTTATTCGATACTTATTAAACGAATATTTATTTTTTTTAAACATTTTTATAATGAAAATTTAACAGCAATGATAATAAATTATTTTCTAAGTTATATCTAAACACAAGGTATTATTTGGTGAATTTTACTGAAAATTTGTTATTTTAACTGAAAATATTTGAACTTATATTTATAACG